CTCAGACCCCCTTCTTTCACTGGATATTACGGCTCTTTTATCCTATGACTTCCTATCCCTATTCCTGCCATTCTTTAATCACCTTAGAAACCTTTTAAACTATACACTTCAAGAAGCCTGTTCTGCCCATTCTTTCCTCCACAGTAGCAGTCTTCAAACTCATAATCTAAAAATCATGTTTTGTTTTGCTTTGTTTTCAACAAAGCCTGAAGGTTATGAATTAGTTTTATGTCACAGATAATGCACCACAACTGCAATAAATGTTCATGAAAGTATCAAACTGCTGTAACTACTTGGAAAGCTAAGTTTTGAGACTTATAAGAATAAAAAACTAGAAAGTTTAAAAGAAACAGGGATGGAGAGCAACTGTTTTAGTGGTGAAGCAGTGTATCTGAAATATGCAAAGAACAACTTTACACCATGACCGTCTATCAGAGTGGAAACGGCAATTGAAAAGCTCTGCTATCAATACCTTAATATTCAGCTTGAAGAGAGCACTGTCCTTTTTGCATACCATTGGCACTATTTTTCAAACTGAAAATGCTCATTAAACAATTAAAAATCACATAATTACTATTTACTGAATGCAACAGACAAAAGTATAATAATTATTCAACAAATAATGCCAATTACATAAAATGCTGAATAGTTGGTGGAAAACCTTGGTTTTACTGAATTCTGCTACATTAGTAGAATGTTAAAAAGTATACCTAATGTGAATTTACAGGAGTAATAATTTTATACTAAATACACAACTGTCCTCTAATATTTTTCGGGTGGGGGAGGAGATTAGCCCTGAGCTAACATCTGTGCCAATCTTCCCCTATTTTGCATGTGGGATGCTGCCACAGCACGGCTGATAAGTGGTGTGTAGGTCTACATCCAGGCTCCAAACTGGTGAACCCCAGGCCACTGAAGCAGAGCACACAAACTTAGCCACTACGCAATCAGGCTGGTCCAAAACGTCCTCTAATTTTGTTCACTAATATTACAATACTTTCTTTATATAATATTGTAAATAATTTTACTTGGTAAAAAATGAAGTCATTTAAAGTAGAGTTTGAATAGTTTGGTTCAATACAAGGACAATCTATGTAGTGCCATCCCTGTCAGCACCTTGTAAACGGGGTTAGCCCAGCTCTGAAAATATTTACTTAATAATGCAGTCATGTCTCACATCTTCATGGGTCAAGCTTCTTGTTATATCAACACTGAGAAAGTAGCTGAGCACCCAACAGCAAACCAATAAACCAACAAGTAGCAGAAAAAAAGCCCATTCACCAGGCTCCACGGGACCTTGATTTTTACAAACCATTCTATCAAACTCAGTAACTGGGTTCTCTTGTCACAGCAAAATCCAAAACAGCAAGTTAGGAGAAGAGGAAGATGAGAAGGAGCAAGGCAAGATGAGCACATCCATGGCAATGAGCGCTGGCAGCAAAGAAAAATGATAAGAACTACAGAAACAGAAAGGATATCTATAAAGGTCTAATAATACAGAATCCCAAGGATATAATACCAGCAGCACTGGAATAAGAATCACAGTTCCAGGACTTCACTAAAGTGAGGGCTCTTAGGAAACCTAGTTACTCTGTGTCTCATTTTCTTGTTCTGGATAATGATTATATAATATAACATGTCGTCTTCAAACTATATCTGACAAACTTTTATTGTTTTTAAAAACGGCATTGAAACATTTTTTACTGATCATAAGAGAAGTATATCGTACATAATTTGGAAAATACTGAAAACGTAAAGGAAATTAAAACTACCTATAACCCACCACCCAGAGACAATCTTCATTTACACCTTGGTGCAGTTTTTTTTCAGGTGTCTTCATCTATAAATATGTACGTATATTTTTTGGCAACATTTTTATTAACCTGGCATTATCTGTGGACATTTTCTCAACTCAAAAGTCTTTGTAGAATCATTTTAATGGCTACATATACCAAAATTTATTCTCCTATCAGTCAGCCCTGGGCTAGTCGCAGGTTCGTTTCCTGGTCAGGGAACACAGCACCCATCTGTCGGCTGTTATACTGTGGAGGCTGCGTGTTGTTGCCGTGATGCTGAAATCTAGTGCCATCAGTATTTCAAAAACCAGCACGGTTATCCATAATGGACAGGTTTCAGTGGAGTTTCTAGACTAAGACAGATGAAGAAGAAGGACCTGGCCACCCACTTTCAAAAAAATTGGCCATGAAAACCCTATGAATAGCGGCAGACCATTGTCTGATATAGCACTGGGAGATAAGAGGATGGTGCAAAAAGACTAGGCAGGGTTCCACTCTGCCATACACAGACTTGCTAGGAGTCGGAATCCACTTGAGGGCACTAACAACAACAAATTCTCCTATCATTGCAGTTTGGTTGGTATAAAACATTTTATAAAGCACATTATACTGCATACATGACAAGTCATCAAAAAAGTGATCATTTATAAGGTCTAGATACAGAAAGGAAATTTTTCAATTACCAAACACCAAGAAAAAATTTTAAAAATTGTAGTTTGTAAAACTAGATTAGCAAATACAATACTTAACTCCAATGAACAAACAAGACATTTAGAGAACCATGTACCTGTATAAGTTTGGAAATGATCATTTTAAGTGATTTCTGATGCCAGCGATAAGAGAATTCCAGTTAAGAGAATTCTGGATTACTGTTATTAAATTCAACATGCTAGTAAAGTAGCAACCATTAATGACCCATAGTCATTCTGCTGATTCATTCCTTAAGCAAATATTTATTGAATTTCTACTACTGAACAGGCATTATACTAGGCTGCATTAATATCAAGAACTTTCTTTGTAAAACAGTCTTAAATATTAGGCAGCAGCATTTAACATATTTTAACAAATGAAAATATTCACCCAAAATCTTACTGTACCTCCTCTCTCAGTGTCTCTCTCTCTCACTCAACTGTGAGCATCTAGAGAACAGAGACTGTCACCATCTCTATATTTCCAACTCTTGGCGTAAAACAGGAGTTCAACACAGGTTTGCTGAATGACTTTACATTTACAATCCAAAGTTTTTAAGTCCTAATCTAAAAGCACACGTTTATACAAATGAAATAACGTATACACTATTTTTGCTGATGCTGTTTTCACTCTATTTTCCCTGTTCCTATCAGTCTTCATATTTTTAATGGCTGCATAATATTCCATCACACTTATATGATATAGTTTAGAAAATGATCCTCTTAATATTGTCTTTGAAGGTTGCTTCCAGTGTTTTTATATTGTATAGCTAATGCTCCAGCAAACATGCCTTACCTTACAAGTCTCACAGATTTATTTCTGACTGGAAAAATTGGGCTCAACTCTGAAAGATAATCTTCTACAATAAAAGTGAATGTCAAAAGAAAAAGATTTTTACTCCATAGGCAGAATTTTGAAAGACAAAAAACACTAGGATTCTTTTCTGCCAAATCTAAGCAATTCAAATAAATTCTGTAACTATTATGAAATTTTTTATTCAAAGTAAACTATGTTTTGTAGGACTGTCTTACATATACCTAGAGAAGATGTTTCTGGGGGCAGGCAGTAAAAATCCTGAGGGAACAGACAAACAAAACGTCTAATTAGAACTTCAATGCTTTTGGAAGGAGGCGCACTTTACCTCCACTTTCTTGGATTCACAGAGCTTGCTCAGACCCTCAGCTTGCAGAAATGCAAGCAACTTTGGGGCTCTGAAGATGCCTTGATTTCCCCTTCTCTCCATTTATAGATTCTAAAGTAATAATCTACCTGGTAACATACAAGCACTTAAGCTTTGACCTTAGATAAAAGGAGCTTATGGGAAAGCCAGCTCTATTTTATAAACTTGAAGCTGGTTTACATACGTACTCATTTAAGAAATTTGTGTTGACCATCTACTACTGCATCACTGCAGCATGGTCCTTCAGTGATTACTGAAATCACGAACCCGGTCTCCTTATTTGTTTGTTTGTTTATTTGGAGGGAAGGAAAGGAAGACAGAAAAAACAGTTAACTATATTATAATTTAATTGTTGTCTAAGTACGATTGCTAACAACCACCCCTAATAAGACAGATTATAATCTATAAGAGGTAACTTCATTATAGGGAAGAAGGGGCCTTTGAGGCCAGCCAAAAGATATGCTCAAATATGTAATTGTTAAAAGAAATATGCTATTTAATTTATATTTCGTCTATATCAAATTCTTCATGAAGCCCAGTGAATAATACCTAATGCAGAATTTCCTATCATTTGCTTTACAGGTTTTTTCACACACACACACACATAAAATAAAGACTCACCGAGACATATGTAACAATTGAATTACTAAAAGCACGAATTCTATAGGTGTTTCTTGGCAACAGGGAAGCTTTCGCCCCCAGAGGTTCCATTCACAGACTGAACAACATTCCACACAATACAAAAGCGCATGCCATGACAAAGACCTCCGAACACAAACATACAAAACCACACTTCTAAAAATGCCCCTAAAGCGAAGTTCACAGCTGGCACTTGTGGCACACTCAAGCCACAGTGCCACAGCTGAAGCAGCTGTCACAGGCCAATCACACACCCAAGAGTGCCAGCTTGCCACCTAAGAAAGCCAAGCTGATGAGCGTACAAATCCTCTACCGAAGAAAGGAAAGCCCCAAATCCCCACCCTGAAAAGCACAATGCCTGCACTACCCAGAAAACTCTCTTAATAAGTGAAAGGTTGGAGACTTAAAAGCAATAAATACCAGCTTATAGCAAAACAATAAAACAGGGGTTTTGTTTGGGCATTCACGAGAAAAGAACCACACCACCCAATCATCACGGAAGTATCATCTGCTAGATAGTAACACCAGGCTTTTTCAACTGGAAAAGGAAAAAGGAGGGCGACGGGAAAATGCAGCCCTGCAGCTCCTCCCTCCGAGGCAGCGCCCGGGAGTGCTGCGGTCTCCGCTTCCAGGCCCCCTCCCGCCCCTTCCCAGCCACCGCCTCCCGCCGCGGGCCCGCAGCCTCCGGCCCTTACCTTCGCTTTGCCGGCCTCCAGCTTCTTCTGTCTCTCCTCGTCCTCCATGGCCTCTGCGGAGAAGGCTAGGGAAGACAGGGAGGGAGTCGAGGGTAGAAAGGAAAGGTCGATTCAGAAGGAGGTGAGACTGCAGGCTCGGCGGCCCAGGGAGCAGGGCCGAGCCCGGCGCTCCCCCTGCGCGGAGTGGAACCAGTCTCTGCGCTCACTGGCTGACCGTCCTCGGCCACACGGGCAGCGCCGTCACCGCCGCCGCCGCCATCTTCGTCTCCACGTAAACACACGGCGGGGCACGAGTTGGCGGGCGGGGGGGACGGGGGCGTCGGTCCGCGCAGGCGCCGCGAGCCCCGCCGCGCCGGGCAGGTGCGTCTGCGGCTCCGCCCGGCCCTGCGCGCCGCGGCGGGGGCGACCCCGGGCAGGCCTCGGACCCTGCTCCACAGGCGCAAAGCTGGCGGGTAGAGCGCCCTTCCCTGGGGACGAACGCTTCCTAGGTGGCGGCCTGGCTGAGAGGGTGGGAGGGAAAGTCTCTGCCACGGGCGCCCCGTCGGATCCCCGCCCACCGTGCAAAGGATTCAGTGGTCGCTTTTAAAACAATGAGATTTTTCAAATTACCAAAATATCTGTTGCAATTGATGAACGCTAAAAAGCCCCAAAGGAAAAGATTGGCGTGGGGTGGGGTGGGAGGCAGGGAGTGGATGAGGACCTACGGGACGTCAGTCTTTCAACCTAGATTGATTCTTCCACTCGAGGAATTGGGAAAACGTCCAGTTGCTCTTATTATTTCCTTAGCCTGCAAGTCTCTCCCTCTTCCCTTCACTGGCCTGCCCAGTCTCTGGTTCATCCTTCAAGGCCCATCTCACACGCTCCCTTCGAATAGCTTTTCAGATCTTTTTGTTCCCTCCACGGCAGCTGGGAGTATTCTGTCAACTTGTTCCCCTCCCACTCCTCCCTGGAGCTTACCTTTAGCAATGGTGCTCTGAAAGGATCCTGGGCCTGGGAAGCTGGGCTGGGGACAAAGCCAGTATGCACTAACTTTCTAGCCTGAATGACTTTGAACAAGTTATCTGTCCTCCCTGAGCTCATCCGGAAGTTTTGGAAAGATTGTTAACATATGTGTTACTATATGTGACTGCCCCTGGCGTGTGAAAATGTCCTCATTTAATATCAGTTCTATTTATCCTTGTATTTCCTTTATGTCCTCTGCATGATATTTTAATAACTTGTGCACTTCTTAGTTCAGCTTATACTCCCAGCTCCTTGATGGCAGAGACTGTCTTGCTCAAATTGGCATTACTAAAATGACTAGCACAGTGCTTTGCACCCATAAACACGTTGAATTGAATTGAACCATTTTAATAAATTGAGCATTACTCTCCTTTTTTTCATCTTCTCCCTCACATACTTCCTTTCTTCTCCCCACACTCCTACACTCAAATCCATTCCTGGGGTAAGCTACACATTTTAAAGTTTCAGGTTGATTACTCAGGTTAATCATGTTTCCCCTTTCTTTTGAGCTAGGTTGGACTGAAAAACTAGCAAGTGTGAACTAAAATAAGCTATGAGTTCAATCGTAGAAGTAGTATTAAGTGAAAATGTGATTAAAAAAGAAAAAGACTAAAGACCTTAGGTCTACCACAAACTGAAGACTAGTTTTAAATAGCCCTGATTTAGAAATTCTTACATTTAAAAATCAACTTTTTTTCCTCCAGCTCCACAATGCATACATAAGTGTGCCAGCTTGTAACACCCAAGTATGTATTGTTCTGTTATCTTAACTTGAATTGGGAACTGGGTGAGATTAGACACTTTATCATAGGAATAACAGAACTGAGACAATAAAAGGAGAAGAGATGTATTGTCACCCTTCTAGCTAAGAATAGAGCAAGGACTAGAATCAAGTGTTCTAACAGTGCAGTGACAAATACTGTCTGCATTGAGGGATTATGTTTGTACATTCTGATTACCTAGGAGGAAGAAGCCCTAGAATATCTGACAAGATCTTCCTGTTTTTTAATAGATACTGCTTTCTCAGTGACTAAGGAAGCCACCTATTTGTTTCAGTATGTACTAAAAATGTTCAAGAACACCTTCTAAAACAAAAAGATTACTTCAATGCTTCCCTTCAATAAGAGTAGCCAGTCATACATGTCTGTTTTATATTTAATGGGTGTTCAATAAATGTTTAAACTTAATTGTGTATTGACTTCTGTTAGAAGGGCAAGCATGTGGCACTGGTGCTGATGCCTCCTTATGGCAACTATTCATTCATGTCATGTCATGTCATTCATTCATTCAAGTCGTTCCCTGAGAAGATGATAGTTGAACAAAGACTTAAAGAGATGAGAGAGTGAGCCATGGGGATAGTGAAGGTATAGCCAGTCTAAAGGCCCTGAGGGAAAAACAAGACTGTTGTGTTAAAGGAAAAGCAGAAGGTAAGGGTGGCTAGAGTAGAGTGAACAAAGAGGAGAATAATAGGAGATGAGGCCAGAGAGGTAAGAGGAGGCCAGATCCTGTACAGTTCTTAAGGTCATTGTAAGGACTTTAGCTGTTACTCTGAGTGAGATGGGGAGGCTTTGGAGAATTTTGAGCAGGTGAGTAATATGATCTGGCTTATTAAAGAACATCTAACTGCTATGAGGAGAATGAACTGTGGGGGATCACTTTGGATGCCATTGTGATAATCTAGACAAGAGATCATGGGAGTTTGGACCATCATAGTGATAGTGAAGATAATGATGTGAGATCAGATTCTGGATATATCTTGAACATGGAACCAGTAGTGCCATATGAATTATAGATTCAATGTGAGGTTTGAGAGAAAGGGAAGAGCTGGGTTGACGTCAACATTTTTGGCCTGAGCGACTGAAGTGATGGAGTTGTCTATAACTGAGATGGGGAAAAGCAAATTCAGAGGAGACCAAAAGTTCAGTTTGGAACATAATGAACTAGAGATGCATGTTAGGCGTCCAAGAAGTGATATCAAGTAGACCCTTAGATATCTGAGTCTGGAGTTCAGGAGAGAGGTTCAAGCAAGAAATATAAATTTGAGAGTAGTCAGCATATAGATGGCATTTTAAGTTAAGGAATTGAATGAGATCATCTAGGACCAGCCTGTCTCATAAAGCAGCCATTAACTACAAATGGCTATTCAGCATGTGAAATATGGCTAGTCTGAATTGAGATATGCTATAAGTTGGGTTTTGAAGAGTTGGTATTAAAAGAACTTAAACTGTCTCATTAATATTTTTATATTAATTATATGTTGAAATGCCAATATTTTGGGTATATTGGTTTAAATAAAATATATGTGAATTTCACCAGCTTCTTTTTACTTTTTTTTTTAATGTAACTCCTAGAAAATTTCAAATTACATAGGTGGCTTGCATTTGTGGCTCACATGATTTTTCTATTGGATCTTGTTGCTCTAAGGAGTAAATTTAGATAGAAAAGTGATGCAATGACTGAGTCTTGGAGAACTCCAACTCTAAGAGGGAGGGAAGGTGAGAGGAATCAGAAAATGAGACTGAGAACAGCAACTGGCTAGGTTACAGGAACCAGTAGCCAGGTGAAGAAAGTAAAGGAAGGGGGTGTGATGGACGGTGGCAACTGCTGCTAATAAGTTAAATGAAATGAGGACTGAGAAATAACCGTTGAATTTAACAAGGTGAAAGTTGTTGGAGGCTTCTATGGAAGTCATTGTAAATCAATCATTAACTCTTTCCTACTGAGTGCAAACACTGCCTCAGTATCCTTCTCACAAAGAGACCCTGGAAGTCAGCCCAATGGACCAAAGTTGAAAAGGGAAATGATAGCTGTCATTTCTGATTGGAGTTACTTCTAGTGATTCTCTTTTTATAACATCTCTAAAAATCATAATTAATCTACACTTCTTTTAGTGTTAACTCACTCATCTTCCCAATAGTGAGAATACTGCACTACACTTGTTTCCCCAGAGGAATTAAATTCAAGGTTTCTAGAGGTACTTGTTATATTTTCCATTTAAATAGTGCTAGTTCCTTATTGGCAAGATAGGAAACTAGTATATGAAGGGTACCTAGTGTGATCAGCAAACAAGATTGCTCTAACTGTAGTTAAATCATACCTTGAGAAGTTTTCTCTGTCCTTCCCCTCAGTATATTGTGGTTGCCATTTCCATATTATTGGATCTTTCACAAACTGGTCAGGTCCAACGTATCTGTGATTTTGTTTTAATAGCCAGTATATATCACTAGAACTTGACCTCAAAAAAGCTGCAGCAGCAATTGAGAGAATTCCTTAGATTCAGTGTGGGAAAAAAAAAAAAAAAGAAGATGGTTCTTCTCTTCTATATCGTTTGGGACAAAATACAAAATACACTTACTAAATTCAGGAGGAGAGACAGTACAGTTTGTCTTTAGCCTTTTCTCTTGTGGATTAAATAATTTTTCTCTAGCCTTTCCTCATATGATCTATGTAAATATATTTGATCATTTTAGTGACCATTCTCTGGACCTTTGCCAAATTCTATATAATGCATTTAAGTTAACCAAGTGATTTTCATTAAATGTTTGAACTATATATCTCACCATAACACAATTATCCTGTGTTTTCCTATGTGCTTAATTCCTATTTATGGGTCACACATATTTTAATGAAAATACTACATGATTGACTTATTAACCTCATTTTCATTTAAATGCAGACCTGTTTTAGCCTTACAAAGCTAGTTTTGTTTTCTCTTTAACATGTGGCTTTCTAGAGTTTTTACTGGAGTAAATTATCAATATGTAATTCAATCATGTCATTGTCCACAAATCTTTAAAATTTACATAGGCATTTTGAATTTTAATCCAGTTCCTTAAGACATCTCACCCACTGGTAAATTCTGTATTTTGTTATACAAACCATTTAAAAATTAGTCAGGTTTAAACTGAATCAGATTCACTCAACTATCTCATCAATGATTCTTTACAAACAGGTGTCCATCTTACTAATTGTTCAAAAGTATTTATTGGGGTCATGAGATCAGCATCATGGTGGAGTGAGCTCTTCCTTTAGACTCGATCCACTAAGATACAACAAAAAGGACGTTCATAAGCCAACAGAGGACATTCACACAACATAAAAGACATGTGAGAGATCCATGTAGCCATATGTCTGAAGGTGGAGGTGCTGGAACTCCAGGATGAAGGAGAAGGAGGTAAGGAGATCTCCTCTCCCTCCTAAGTAGCGACCCAGAGCACAGAACCATGGACAGCTCTGAGAAAATAGGGGGAGGGGCAGCTCTTTACAGAACACCTTCTCTTTCCA